AAAAAAAATGTCAAGTTGAGTCCTGAACGGGTGTCTACGCCTTTACACAATTCCTATTTCACAGAAAATGTGCAAAGAGAGGTAGCTGTAAACACCCAATTTGGTCCAGGCCTGGATCAATTAGGCCTAATCCAAATGGTAAGCCCATTTTATCTTTTTATTTTGTATCTTATTTATTTATTATTTATTTATTTATTTATTGCTATTATTATTATTTATTAATACATATATTTTTATCTATTAATATATACTATTATTTATCTATTAAATTTTTATTATTAACTATTATCTATTATTTATCTATCAGTATATATATTTTATTATTTATCTATTTTTTTCTTTTCTTTTTTTCTTTGGCTGGGATTAAAAGATATTGATAAAAAAAAGTTAAAATTTTACCGTGAATTTAGGATTCAATCAGAGTCCAGATTAAATTCAAAGATTGAATCTCAATCCAAGAGAAAATTGGGATTGATCAGAAACTCTTCTGATCAATCCTTATAAATAGGACCACAAAGATCACACAAGAGGACACAAAGAGAAAACAGAAGCTAAAAAGGTTCTGGTGCGTTAGAAATAGCTTTAGGAATTTGTGAAAATTTTTTAGAATCCGACGAAATTTTTCGACGAGCTTTTCAACCAACTTTGAAGTTTTCGACGTCTTTTTTCAGATTCTGGTAGAACATTTATCCTAAATCTAAGATTGTTTAAAGAGAAGGAGGAGAAAAAAAGGAAAGAAAGAGGAGAAGGGAAATCTGAAAAAAAAATTGAGTTTCAACCTTATATACCTTCCCTAAAACGACGTCGTTTTTGAGTTAGTAAACCCACAGGATCCTCGCGTTTTGCTAAGATCCGACCCGATCCGTAGCACACCCGATCCAGCAACTCTTTTCTCCGCCTGGGTTCAAGCTGAGCTGAGCCGGTTTCCTATCGAGCCGTACATCCGAGCCATCGTTCTTCCTAGAGTCGAGCCGCATTAAGCCAAGCTGAACCGAGCCGTTTCAAAGGTTTTTTTTTCTTATTTATTATTATTATTATTATTATTTTATTATTATTATTATATTAAAATTATTTAGTGTTCCTTATTTTATTTACTTTTATTTTTTTTAAAATGATTTTCTTTAAATAAAATTCCAAAAAAAAATATTTTTGAGAAAAAGTTGAAAGTATCAATTTTTTTTGAAAATTATTTTTTAAAAAAAGTTTTTTTGAGAAAAAGTTGAAAGTATCAATTTTCCTCGAAATTAAAGTTTCAAAAAAACGTTTTGCGAAAAAGTTGAAAGTATCAATTTTTCTTAAAAATAGAATTTCCAAAAACATTTTAGGGAAAGTTGAAAGTATCAGTTTCCCTTGAAAATAAAATTTTCAAATGCTTTAAGAAAAAGTTGAAAGTATCAATTTTCCTTAAAAATAAAACTTCTAAAAATATTTTAGGGAAAGTTGAAAGTATTAATTTTTCTTGAAAATAAAATTTCCAAATGCTTTAAGGAAAAGTTGAAAGTATCAATTTTCTTTATATAAAAGTAATGAGTGTTTTTTTAAAAAGAGAGGAAAAGATTTATATAAAAGTTGAATCATTATTCTTTTTTTTTCTTTTTATTTTAAATAATCTGACGATAGAGCATCTGTAAGTGAAACAGTAGTCTCCTTGCATACTCTTGAAGTGAGAAAATTTTTTTAATTTTGTGCTAAAAGTATTAAAGTCATTGAGAAGAATTTTCAATAATCAATTACTTGATAAATTTTTAAGGCTTATTGGATAACACAAAATTAGCTGGTACCATCTTTCGATGGGCATTGTGAAGGTGCTATAACCTTTTTCACATGTAACCGTACTCTTGAACCCTATTCTGGTTAACAAACCTGAACATATTCTTTTAGGGACCTTTAAGTTTAGGTGTTCCTTGAAAGGATAGATTCCTTAGGTGGTCAATCGCACCTAAACAAAAAAGATTGGTGGAAACTCCTTAAATCAACTTCTAGAGATGGATCTCAGGATTTAAACGTTATGACAACTATTTTGTTTAAAAAACATAAGGAAAATGGAAGAATATTTTTTAACTGAAAGGATGTCTGCGCTTGAGAGTTTACTTTGTTACTGAACTGAAAAGACAAAAAAAAATCCTAAATCCTAAAACCTTGTTGATTTGTTCAATTATGATCGAAAAGTACTTAATTCTTTTTTGGATAGTTCTTGAAGGGACAAGAAAAGCTGAAATACCACAAGATGTTTATTATTGAATTCACTAGATGCAATAGTATTCATTTTTAGAACGTTTAATGCCAAAGTTATAGAATGGGTAAATCATTGATCCTTAAAACAAATTATGTAATGTACTTTATCTATTGGGGTAAGGGCATTTTACCATGGGTTTATAATGATCACCTCAAGAATGTGAATTTTAGTAACAAAATTTGTTTGTTTTATTACAAATAATTATGACATAAAAATATTAATTTGCAATATTTTTTGTGCTTATAAGTTGCTGAACAATAATGTTGGAAGTTATATTTGATGCATTATTATTATATATAATATTATATTTATATATTTGTCATAACGTCTAGATTCGGGGATCTATCGCTAGATATTGACTTAAAGAGTCACCACCAATCTTTTTTTATCTAAGTGCGATTGACTAGCTAAGAAATCTATCCTTTTAAGGAACACCAAGCTTAAGGGTCCCTAAAAGAATAGGTTTAGGTCTATTAACTAGAACAGGGTTCGAGAGTTCGGTTACGTGTGAGGAAGGTTATAACACCTTTACAATGCCCATCGAAAAGATGGTACCAGCTTAATTTTGTGTTATCCAATAAGCCTTAAAAATTTATCAAGTAATTAATTATTAAAAATTATTCTCAATTGACTCTAATACTTTTAGCAAAAAATTAAAAAAATTCTCTCACCTCAAGAGTATGCAAGAAAACTACTGTTTCGCTTGTAGAGGCTCCATCGTCGGATTATTTAACATTTAAAAAAATTCAAGATAATAAAAAGAAAAAAAAATGATTGCTTTAGATATAAACTCTTTTCTCTTCAAAAATTCATTGCTTTTTGTACAAAAAAATTGATACTTTCAACTTTTCCCCAAAATATTCTTTAGAAACTTATTTTTAAGGAAAATTGGTACTTTTAACTTTTTTTCAAAAATATTTTTTAGAAAACTTATTTTCAAGAAAAATTGATACTTTCAACCTTTCCTTAAAAATACTTTTTAGAAAACTTATTTTCAAAGAAAATTGATACTTTCAACTTTTTCTCAAAAATATTTTTTAGAAAACTTATTTTCAAGAAAAAATGATACTTTCAACTTTTCCTTAAAAATATATTTTTTTAATTTTATTTAAAGAAATAATAAAAATAAAAAAATAAAAAAAAACTAAAAACAAAATAAAAAGTACTAAACAATTATAATCTAATAAATAAATAAATAAAAATACTAATAATAATAATAAAATAAATAAATAAATAAATAATATAATAATAAATAAATAAATAAATAATTTGAGAACGGCTCGGCTTAGCGGCTCGACTCAACTTGAGGAAGAAAGGACGGCTCGAAGACGCGCCTCGGCTTGACTTCGAAAACGGCTCAACTAGGGTCGCACGCAGGTCAAAACGCGTGGATCTTCTGGTCACAGTAACGCCAAAACGACATCATTTTTAACAGGTATAAAAGGTTAATTCTTCTATTTTTCAGCAGATCGATTCTTCCCTCTCTCTCTCTCTTCCCTTCATTTCCTCTCCCTTCTCTCTAAACAGACGAAGAATTCCGGTTGAATCTCATCAGATTCTAAAAATTTTATCGAAATTTAAGTTTTTCATCGAAAGTTCATCAAAAAGTTGATCGGTTTCTGAAAATAGTTATCGAAAATTGGGTAGCTGGCTGAAAAATTCAAACGGTGCAGGAAAAGTCACTGAAAAATTTTAACTTCATCAAAAAATTCAATCGAAATCTGAAAATTTTTTAAAAATTTTCTGAAAAAAAAATTTCTCCAAAATTTCTAAAAAATCCTGAAATTGATTCTAACCCTTCTAGACGTCTTTTTCTTTCTCTTTTCACTCTTTTTCTCAGTCAGTGTCTACGTTTCTGTCTTCTGGTCTTTATGATTCGTGGATCTATTTATAGAGATTGATCAGAAGAGTTTCTGATCAATCCCAACTCCTCCTTGGATTGGGATTCAATCCTTACTCCTCCTTGGATTGGGATTCAATCCTTGAATCCAATATAAACTCTAATTGAATCTCAAATTCATGGTAGAATTCTAAATTTTCATCTTAATCTCAATCGAATAAAAAAAATAAAATCAAATAAAATGAAAAAAAATGTTAATAGATAATTAAAAGAAAATAATTAGATAAATAAAAATATTAATAGATAAATAATAATATATAAATAGATAAATAATAATAAATACATATATATTAATAGATAAATAATAATAAATATTAATAAATAGTAATAATAAATAAATAAATAAGATAAAAATAAATAAATAAAATATAAATATAAATATAAATATAAAATATAAAATATAAAATATAAAATATAAAAAAATAAAATAAAAAATAAAATGGACTTATCCATTTGGACCAGGTCCAATTGATCCGGACCTGGATCAAATTAAGTATCTACAATATTGTTAATAAATAATATAATAATATCGTATAAAAATTATATTTAATATTATATACATATAGTGTATTAAATATAAATATAAATAAATATAAAATATTTATACAAATTATTTTAAAAGTTTTTTAATAAAATAAAATTTCTTGTACGTCTAGTATTTGAAAAGGAAAAGAAGAGCGAACAAAGAAACCTAACCCTCTAAGATGCTGGTCAATTGGAAACATGAAGGGTAGATATTCCACGAGTACCAATTAAACCTGAGAGAAAATCACGTGGCTGTCATCAAATTGGTGGCAATTGCTTGTCAGAGTTTTGGTTTTATTGATTAATGTATAGGAGATTGCAAACGTGTCTATAAAAACCCTACAAGTTTAGTTCAAGCTTCCACCACTTCCAAAATTTAAGTATTTTGGCTTAGTAGTCACGAGAGTGACGTACATTTTCTCATTGCATTAGGCAAAAAAAGAAACATCTTGGGCGAAAGAAAATGGTTGTCACAAGTGCAGCAACAGTCGAGTCCAACTATGACCGGGAAAGTGAGTTAATGGCTATTGACAGATCAAAAGCCGGCATAAAAGGACTCGTTGATGCTGGATTAGCAAAGCTCCCACGAGTTTTCGTGCACGATCACTTGAATCCTGAGGTTAAATCACGGCCTCCAAATGCCAACATTGAGATCCCAGTCATCGACTTGGGAGGTGTTACCAATGACTCCACTCGACGGGCAGAGGTAATCAACGAAATCCGAAATGCTTGCCAGAAATGGGGATTCTTTCAGGCGGTTAATCATGGAATCGCTGCAACCACCCTGGAGGAGATGATCAGCGGCATTCGTAGGTTCCATGAGCAGGAACCTGAAGCAAAAGAAGAGCTCTACTCCCGTGACGAATCTAAGAAGGTTACATTCAACACTAAAATTGATATGTCCCAAGCCCTGACTGCCTATTGGAGGGATACCTTGACATGTGTTATGGCACCTCAGCCCCCTGCTCCCGGAGAATTGCCTTCAGCTTGCAGGTAAAATTGCACCACTGTCACCATGAAACATGGAAAACGAAAACAATTGCATTACTCTTATTTGAGATTGCTAGATAGTGAACCGTAATCATTAAAATTAATAGGTCAGCACTTTATCAACATACGCCACCATTGGCATTACATTATTATTATGATTATTATTACTAATACCTACTTAATCTATTGGCAGGGAGATAATGCTTAATTACACAAACAATGTAATGAACTTAGGGCTTACCCTGTTCCAGTTGTTATCAGAAGCTCTTGGGCTCAATCCAGACCACCTCAAGGAAATTGGTTGCGCTGAAGGACTTTATGTAATGGGTCATTACTACCCTGCTTGTCCTGAACCAGAACTGACTATGGGCACAGGCATCCACACAGACAGTGGTTTCCTGACTGTGCTCCTCCAGGACCAAATGGGTGGCCTCCAAGTCCTCCACGACAATCAATGGATTGATGTTACCCCTATTCCTGGAGCTCTTATAATAAATCTGGGAGATCTGCTTCAGGCGAGTGGAAAATGAAACCAATTATTAACTTGGTCATTAATAAATTTTTGTGGGTTTTTGTCTAAGACAAGTTTATTTGTGTCCCTTTTGCAGCTGATCACAAACGACAAGTTCATTAGCGTCTATCACAGAGTACTGGCGAAAAATATCGGGCCAAGGATATCAATTGCTAGCTTTTTCCGAACCTATATTCAGCCAGAGAATGCCTTAAGAATGTATGGACCGATAAAGGAGCTGCTCTCGGAAGAAAACCCGCCACTTTACAAGGAAACGAATGTGGTCGACTACTTTAAATTCAAGCACGTAAAAGGTGTAGAAGGGACCTCTGCTCTGGCACATTTCAAGCTCTGAAAAATGGAAAAAATGTAGGGGAAGATTGATGAAGTTTTTCTACTTTGGTTGCACCTTCAATTCCTGGTTTCATATATGTCAAAAAATTAAATCCCCTCTAAGTCTCCTATGTTCCCCAACCCCCCC